ACGGCCTTCGACAAGAAGCAGTACATGACTTACATGAAAGAATACGTGAAGGCGTGAGTATGCGTGCCAAAGGTTCAATGCACCAAGGAAGAGATGTTCAGATTTTAAATATGGGGTGGAGAGGATTTGATCATATGACAAAGTTGTGTCTGTTTGCATGTCCAGCATTAAGGCCAAGCTGCAAGAGGACAATCCAGAGAGAGTGGATGGCTTCGTGGCTGACGTCACACCAGAAGTTAAGAAGATCTTGGCAAACATCAAGAATTACCAGGTAATTACAGAGTCTCACACCATATTTATGAAACTCATTAAGGCAAAAGGTAGCTCCCAGTTAGCAGAGTTAATGGTGGAGAAACTCCTCAAAATACACTGATCTGGTATTAAAACAGAATGGAAGGGGAAAAAACAAACACGCTTAACTTCCCATATCTTTATAAACAATTAAGTTTATTGACTGATCAGTCGTGAGGTAAATGTTTGCCACGTCAGAACTAAAAGCGTTTCCATCTCCCATTTAGTGCTTTAACTCTTTTTTTTTTTTTTTTTTTTTTGAGAAAGGTGAAAACCGCCTCAAGTGAGTGTAAAAACCTTGTATGAAATTGGCGTATTTTCAAATTTTGCCGTGTTCAATCGACCTTTTTTAATGTGATAATTTAAAATGCGGATAAAAAATCATTGAAACACATCCAATGAGCAGGCAGCTAATTTTTCACTACAAAATAAATTTTACTCACCTCAGACTCTTTCTGTAGCACAGAAGATCTCTGCTGCCAGCGTGTGATAATAAATTCTTTCAGCCTTATTCTTTGTCTTTAGAATTTTTATCTCTATTATAAACTCCTGTTTTGTGTAATTTCCCACGTCACTTTTCATCAGTTTTCTTGACAAAACATGGTTTGGGGACCAGTTGTCAGGTGATGGGTTTTTGGAGAATCATTACTTAAGTGAAGCCTCCTGCATCAGTCATTGTTTTATTTTCGTTGGTCAACTGTTGTATTGAAACTCAACTTTGTTTGCTGGCACTTCAGGGAATAGATCTCAGGACTGGCAGGCGAAAACAGTACTTGCTTGCCACAGTAGCAGGCAGTGATTTTCAGACCGTGCTAGTGTCCCTTGGGTCACTATTATCTTGTGACATGCCATCTTATGTCTCCCCACAGTTCTTCACAGGAGAGTCCATGAACCCAGAGGGCATGGTGGGACTGCTGGACTACCGTGAGGACGGCATCACACCATACATGCTTTTCTTCAAAGATGGTCTGCTGGTTGAGAAATGCGTAAGTACTCAGCTGAGTCTCCAAAAACACAAGTGTCATGAAGCTGCTTGTAATGCAGCGGTTAAAAAAACATTTCCCAGGCACATAAAACATTTTGACGTGTCACAGCAGGAAAAGCTCAGGCGTACAATAAGTCTAATTTAGCTTCAGTTTCAAGCTCTTAGTGTTAGTCAAGTCAAATTGTCTCAATATCTGAGCGGATTTTTGACTGCAGCAATTTGACATCTGTGATAACAGTCAACACTTGATCCTACACCTCTTTAAACTACATGCTGTGAGTTTTTAACACAGGCTTTAGTTTGAATACTTTGTAGAGCCATGGTAACATCCCTGTGTCTCACTGTCCCCCACAAGATCAAGGGCAGAATCAAAGCTGCTGGCAGAAATAAAACTGCCTGTTACCTGATACACATGCGCGGTACTCGGCCAAAGAGAGGCAACTATGCTGGTTTTTTCGTTTGCAAGGGTCTTTGGTGTTCAATTAGACCATCAGAGTATGTCTGCCAGTCTATAAAACTGGATCGTTAGCTGTGGCGGGGCACTTTGCGATTCAGCATGGTTGGAACATGTAAAGTAAACTATATTCCTGACATCAAAAAAGAAAACAGTTGGTTTCAGTCCTCCTCCCTCTGCTGCTGGTAGAGAGGAGCTGGCTTCTCTCAACAAGCTGCTGAGTTTACAGGGATTTGCAAAATTTTAAGGTTTGTAGCATCTCAGCTAAACAGGTTACAGACAGACTTTGTTTTAGCTTGTTTATAACAAACTAGCTATTAGCCGAGCTAGCACATGTGCTTGTATAAATCCACAGCTGCAGTGGATGAGACAGAGCAGATTATAATATCGCTCTGTACAGGTTCCTGCTTATTGTACAGATGCCGAAAAAGCAGAAACGGCCTTTCACTAATATTGCTGATTTCGCTGCACTGACAGGTACGACCGTAGTTATGGTCAACGTGTGTAAGCTACACTGATCTCCGCTCCGCGTGTGTGCATGCGAAGCTCTGGTGAGACAGGAGGGGAGGGACTGCAGCGTGGCTCAGTGTTGGGCTGCTACCTGTGACTTGTAACCAATCAGCTAGTACTGTGGGCGGGACATTGTACTCAACACTCTGTGGGCTTGGACAGAGGGAGGTGGCTGCATCAGAGCCAAAGGAGCCCTTTTTTAAAATTTTTTATTAATTATATCGGCTCTGTTTTTAAAATGGCCGATGCAGATTATTGGGAAAAATACGCTAATATCTGCACAACACAGGAATCCTCACTAAATCTAATTCTTTTTAAATGTAATTGGGGATAATGAAAGTAGTATAAGTTATGGCAGTAATGTAGCAATTGCCATTAAATGTGAGCTACAGTTGACTTGTAGTAAAGTACTGACTTTTAAAGTGTCGGGTGTACTGGATCACTGTATAAACCAGAATTGGTTAATTTTGCCGTGCACAGGAGGTGACGTACTCCTAATTGTGAAAGATGACCGAGGATGCTTGGTAGATGTATATTAACGTGTTTTCATCTTTCTTGCAGTAACTACCTGGAACGACATCTGCTTTTCAATTGGCTGCTGCTTCCCAAAAGGCCCCAAGAGCAGACTAAAGGAGCACTATACTTTTTTTTTGCATCATGCCTGATCAGAAACATTCTTGTACAACTTCTTATATAGTCACATTACGGCACACAGCACCACTCCAAGGCTGGGTGAATCAAACAGTATTGGTCACTGAATACAGTTTTTAACTTTTTTCTTTTGGCTTTTGCAGTGTTTGATTTTTATCCTGGGAATTGGCCCCATTTTGTGATTAAAAGTAGAAGGCGGGACAGTGAGTGGAGCTCTGACTCAATGAGTTTTTCATGCCTGAATACTGTTCTGCAATGATCTATACAGGTTGACCTCCTCAGACCTCTTTGTGTTTATGGTTGCATTAAATAAGATTCCATCTACAATGAAAAGACTGGTTTAATTTGAAAATAAAATCTAGTACCACCACTAAAGTGTTTCTGTGCATTTGTGGGATGTAGAATAAGCCTTTACTTTCGGACTTTTCTAAGGCTACACTTACTTGCATTAGTGCAGTGTTACTGATGCATGTTAACACAGCAGAGGGAAATTACTTGTATGAGTGGAGAGTAGTAGGTTCTTTCAATGTGGTGCAGGATTTTGGCCCTTTAGACCCTTTTCGTAAGTCCGCATTTCTGCAGACTTTGGCTGAGGGAATTGCCCGCAGTTCATAGCGGTATGACGTGAAACACAGGCGTTACCAGGGGAATCAGGGAAGCGAGAGAAATATCACGGCAAATCTGCATCATGAGAAGAAAACTGTAAACAAGCATCGATACCTGATGTTAAAATTGTTGAAAGTTCTTCACTTAAGATGCTGCGTAGGACACATGAAGTCAGAGGAATGCAATCACCTTATTACACAATATTACCGTATATTTTGCTTGATGCTATTTGACCAACAATAGTGTATTGATTAATTACAAATATTAACATTTAGGCTACCTCTCCTCCACTCTGTAGGGCAAGAGCCTGCAGGACTTAGAAATAAGGCAAAAACATTAGTGTGCAACGTGTTTCAGCATCAATGTAACGTGATAAAGTGGCAAAGGGCTGTCCCGTTCCTGTTTACAGCAGTTTGAGCCCTTGCAGCCTGTTGCACTCAATCACTTTCCAAGTGGTCAGTAAAGTCTGAGGGTTCAGGGTTTAGGGGGGACATTGGGATTGAGCCAATGAATGCAAAATGATCCTCAGTTTAGTCCACGTTGACGTGCTGTCAGTACGAGTTTTGAAAAAGTGACTAGAGAAATGCCCGTTGCCAACGTTTAAATCTTTTGATGGATAAAAACAGTACAGTGATTGTGTACTTCAAAGAAGGAGAACGAACCCTTTTTACTATGAATCCTCTATGATTTAAAGTAAAACAAGGAAGTTCACTGGGGGGAGATGAACACTTCAGGCCAACAACCAACCCAGCGTGGCTTGTATAAAACCAAAATCACACCGAAAATCAAAGTAAAACATGTAAATCACAGGCTGTATGACTTTCATCATGGTAACTCATAACGTGACTCAGTAGTGTGTTTGGCCCCCACATGCCTGTATGCATTCCTGCCCTAACGTCTGGGCGTGCTCCTAATGAAACGGTGGATGGTGTCCCAGACCTGGATCAGGGCTTCAGTGAGCTCCAGGACCGTCTGCAGTGCTACTTGGCAGCCTCGGAAGCACCGATAGATAACAGCCTAGAGATTTTCAGTTCAATTTAGGTCTGAGTAATGAGAGAGGCAGTCAATGGCATCATCATCCAGGAACTGCCTACACACTCAGGCGACATGACGCCGGGTGTTGTCCTGCACCAGAGTAAGGTCTGACAATTGCTCTGAGGATTTCATCCTTGTACCCAACAGCGTGGTACGGTTGGCTAGCAGGAGGTCTGTGCAAACCTCCAAGAATATGCCTCCGCAAACAATCACTGATGTTCACTTAATTTTTTTGAGCAGTATAAATAAACCAGTTGACACTCTTAGCACACTACTTCCTGTTGAGTTAACAGTAGTGACACTGTAGCTCTTGTGCATGTCTGATGTGACCCGACGCAGCTACTGTACCCCTTTCATGTTAGTTAAGGTTAAATCATCACCCTAACACAAGTAGGGAGTGTGTGGTCAGACTCTCAAACTTTCATTTTTAATCAGGTTTCAGCCCCGTGTGATTTACTGTAAATATAGTTAATGGTGTCCACAGTTGCTATAGCAACACTACTAGAAAGGTGAGTTTCCAATCATGTTGCTCTTTAATCTTTGTGTTTCTCTGGTTCACTGCTGCCGTTGGCAGGGCACACTGCCTTATTTTGTGGAATACACAAATCGCGCAGAATATATTCATACTTGTACTATTTGAACAAAAAAGAAATGTTCTTGCTCAAGCTCATCGTCAGTGTAGCAGGAGGGCCTTGAGTCTTTAAACAAGACTGTATAAAAGGTCTAAACATAAATGAGTTGAAAGAAAGGCTTGTTCGAAATCAAACCATTGGCTGCCTGTGGTACAGTGTGCCTAGATAATAAACAGTAATGTCAAGTTCACTATATTTGGGCCTGTTTTAGCCCACGTACTGCGCACACTTGTACAGACTTAAACCCTCCACTGAAATGCATGATAGATGTTCAGTTTTGTGCTGTATACATTGTTTCCCATTCAAATGAAATCATGTGAAGTCAGCACCTGCCTGTTCAGCCACAGATGTTCAGAAAGACCCAACACAAAAAACAGCATTCATTAAAAGTAATGGTTTGAATGTTCTTGTGATAATACCTTAAAGGAGACTATTGGTGGTTTTTCTACAAATCAGACGGTCACATTTTAGATTTTCTTCACCTTCCACTTCCAGACAGATGCTGGGTATTCATTGCTCAAATTAAAAAGACTTCAAACCAGCGTGAAAGGGGAGGAACAATCTGTTTATTTATGTTGCTGGTTAATGCAGTTTAAACTCAAACATCACATGCTACCTGCATATGTGCATTTCCTTTTTCTACATTCAGGAATTCACTAGATATTAACAAATATGACCCAGCTGAGATCTCAGGTTGTAGCTCTGTTCTTTCCTGTGAGATGAGACCGACATCAGTGAACAGGCTCGAGGAACTCGCTGGAACTAGGCGGTCTGCATCTCCTCCTCTTCCTCGGCAGACTGGTAGTGTCGGTACTCTGACTTCAGTTCCCAGGTGCTTTTATGAGCTCCCTTGCTGTTGTACGTCCCAATTTCCCTCATGATTTCTTTCAGGTAGGTCTGGAAAAACAGGTTGAAATGAAAAGATCGTGACAGACCACCTATATCTTTAACATATGGTGTATTTGACAGATGTGTTGCATGCTTTTGTGTATAATTTGCATCCAGCAAAACACACATAACAATTCTTCCTCTATAAAAAGTAACAGATAGAAAAGTGGAATCTACATCAACGTCCAGGGTCCTTGTTCCTGGTTCCTCCTCTCAGGTACTTAAGCGAGTCTTTATGGTGTACCAGCAGAGATCCTACAGGAATAGTTTGCCTACTTCCAAAAACGGAATCGTTTGTATTTCTATTTTATTACTTTTTTAAATATTTAACTTTTTACTTCACTACATTTGACAGGTCAGGGAATCAAGGTCATTTTACTCAGAGAATAATGTATGTGAATATTTAAATTTAGAATAAAATAATTTTTTACAGAATGCAAAAAAATTTATGACATTTCATTCTAGATTGAGCTACTCATTTAATAAAGTATAGTATGTAACTAGTACCTTTACTAGCTTTGACATTACAGGGATGAATGCATTAATAATAATATTATAATCGGCCAAGTATATTTTGATGCTGTACTTTTACTTATAGTGCATTCTTGAATGCAGGACTTACACATTACATCTTGGTGGTTTAGAGGGGCTTATGTGCCAGAGTATTTCTTGCTTCCAGGCTTTGTGCCAAGATTAGCTAACCAGCCACTGGTTGGTCTTTTCATCTAACCCTTGACAAGAAAGAACATAAGCGCAAACTATTCCTTTAAGGTACTGAGAGGTTTGGGGTATGTGCCAACTCCTTGTGACTTGAAGACTCTGGCCTGATGTTTTGACAGTCCCCATCTGCTTTCTGATTTTATACTAAATGGCGGTTTCCCCGTGACCCTGCTTGGACAGCACCGTTGCCTTTCCTGAACAGACATAAATCCAACACAAACCTCATTTCTAATACTGAGCAGGAGCTGTGGAAGACTGCAGTGCTGTGAGAGAGACCATACTCTTCAGCCACCACCAGGTGTCTCTGTTGAGCTGCTGAGCAGAGACGTGGCCACTGAACCTCATGAATAACAGTCATGTGTTTCAAGACTTTTCATAATGGGCATTTCGGTTACTTTAGTTCAGTTAATTTGAGTGTTAGCCAAGTGCTTTAGGAGAGAAATGATGGTGCGGAGTGTATTGCGGCGTTTGACTCCTACTCAGCCGATGGTTATGCAATCAGATGCAATCAGAGGGAGAGGAGGACCTCAAGGTCTCATCAGCACCTACACATTGCTGTTCTCTGCGAGCTGGAACGAATCCACAGCAGTGTATCGATTCATCCCATGTTTGTGTGTGTGTGGTGCATGTTGGCACAAATTTGAGCCACAAAAGATTGTGTGAACAGGCATGAACGTCATGTTGTGGGCGATTTGTTCAAATTTAACAAAGCAAGGTGGATAGTGGGCAGGTGTGTTGTGTATTTTTTTGGTCTTTCCAGCAATATTGTTACATGCGTGTTTGTTTGTTTGTGTGTGTGCATCCTGCTCACCACAGGTTGTTTGGTGATGTCCACCAGGTCCTTAATGTTGTAATACTGGTGTTTCTCAAAGGCAGAGAAGAGCATGTCGAGCACGACCTGTCGCTCAGCCCTCACCATCTTCCCGTCCGACTTCTTCTTCTTCTCATACTCCACCTTAGAAGCATCCTCAATATTACTAATAATAATACTATTACTAATAATAATACTAATGACATAATGACACTTGTAATATTACAAACGTGAATCTGATCATTATGGTTTGATTCTGTCACAATTTGATGAGAATCCATACACCGTTATGAGTTCTTACATTGAAATCGTGGTTGGCCACAGGCTTGAAGACGGTAGTGATGGCTTTCTCCAGCTGCTGTGACAAACGCTGAGGCTTGGTGGACTCTTGAATCTGCAGTCTGACACACACACACACACACACACACACACACACACAGAAAGTTGTGATCTCCGCTGACAGATGTGCCTGTTGGCAGGGAAGCAACTGTCAGGACCTTGAGGTGAAACTAACCAAATAAGTAATGGCAGCTGCTCTGTCCAAAGATATTCTGCCTGCTATTTATTTTTTGTTGACTTTCATTCATCCTGACAACGTCAGTGAACACATGCAGCTGCCTGATGTTCTGCCATAATTACCATGATATATTCATAGTGATATATTAACCGTAAACAGTTATGCTAATGAATCGATCAGTAAAGCTTGCTTTCAATCTTTATATACTTCTTATTTTTTTCTAATTTCTTTGTAGATGAGTCACATTTCATCCACCAGGAGGTTAAAAAACAAAATGGATTGCATCACAAAACACAAACAAACAATAAAATATTAGTAATGTCAACCAATGCAGAACAACACACATAACTCTATAAACAACAAATTTGATTTGAATTATTTATCTTAAATCCGTTTTCCCCCTTTAATAAGCACATTATGATCACTTTATCTACAGAAGGAGCCTGCAGTGAAGTTTCTACCAAACTGACACACACACACACACACACACACACACCCACCATGACAACAATGTCCTGCATATCCTGTAGCCTGCCATGATGGAGGGACATTTGTCAGCTGCCATCCAAATGGGAGATTACAAAACTCCATGTGGAGTCAGAAACACAATGACAAATCTACATCACAGCACCATCCTGAATCCCAGCCAGATGATCAGCACAAAAACCTCAAGAACACGTTCATGACGGTCGCGAAGGGTACGCTTTATTTTTGCTCGTCCGTCATTAAAGTGTCTTACTGATGCTGATCGCTGATGGAGAAACTGTCTCACACACTAAAGCAAACTGCGTTGTGTGTTTGCCTTGGGTTGTATTGTAGCAGTGCATCTGCCACAGTGATGCGGTTGCTATAGCAATCCCCATCCACTAACTAGCTGGAATAACGGATTCTGATGAAGAGGGGACAGAAACCATTAAAAAAAAAAAAAAAGGCAGAGTGGACCTGAGTGTTTAGTGTACATAAATTAACAGTTCAAGTTCAAGTTTATTTATTTAGCACATTTAAACACAACACTAGTTGACCAAAGTGCTTTCCACAATAGACAACAAATATACATGACAACAGTAGAAAAAGTATAACATAAATGTCACTACTCAACTCTGTTTGAAGGCCAATGAATAAAGAGTTTGGACAGTTGCAGCGATGCCCCTTGTCAACACGTCAAAACTTCTCTGCTCTTGTTGGAATTAATTCACAACACTTGAACAGATTTTGTTTTGTCCAGGGGTGGAAAAAAAAAAAACAAGAACAACAAATGCTGCCCTGACTCTTATGCATTTGTGTGGTTATTATTCCACAAATGTTAAGAATGATTCATCAGTAGTCAGTCTGATCCTTTAATGTAATGGAAATGCAATGCAAATATATTAAACTTACACTCAATGCAGTGTGTAAGGGGAATTGAAGTTATTTTCGTAACAGAAACTTTAACACCACAATATTTAAATGTTTCCCATATTTTGCAAAAATATTATGTTGTCATCTGGTGCCAGTAACAACTGCTGTGCTGTTTTACAATATTATGTTCAAGTGAAATAAGTTCAAGTGTTGGCATTTAAGTTTAAAACTGTCTATAACATCCATTTTGCTGGGTTTTTCTAACCCAGTGCAGCCATGAGGCACAACAGCATTTAAGTTCACCTTATTTGATTTCTGACGTAATTCAGTCTCGTCAAACAAGCAATTTGAAAGTTCACTCACTTCTTCAGCTTCATGTAGTTGTCATTGACGACCGGCCTGCATTCAGCTCTGTGCACCACCATGCCCTCCAGACTGATTTCACCTACCACAAAGACAGTGACTCAGCCGCTCAATCATGATTCAGACGCATGCACACAGACACGCCGAGTTCGTTGAGAAAAAAAAAAGAAAAAAGGTGCAACTCTCCAGTTAATAAAAAAATAAATAACTTATGTTTATATAACTTTTATACATTTTGCAGTTTAGTAAAACACAATCCAAACCGAGAAAATACATGTGGCAACATTCAGCTCACTGGACATGAGTTATTGTATTCTCATATCATATAATAGCTGTACTTACCTGTTTCCAACGTGTAAATATTGTTCAAACACTAAAATTGTCATAATCACACAAGTCAGATTTTTGTTAAATTTATCCGAACTGGCGCTTACAATACAGAAGAGCATGAAGAGGTAAAGAAATACAGTCACCTCACAATTTAGTGGACATCCCTTTATATTGTTAATGCATGCATATTTTTAAACCTCACACAATACTGCACAGGGCGTAAACATGGGAATCTATCCCGTCTCTACCAATATGACACGCTCATGAATCAATATGACATTAGAGAAAGACACACGTGTTCACTCCCCCCCCCCCCCATCTCAAAATTGCTAAAGAATTCAAGTTTGGCATGACTCTTAACGTCCAGCGTTACGGATGTTGAGGCAAAGTTCGCCATGGAGGACACCCAGCGCTCACTGTAAATCACAAGCTTATGCCTCGTGGAGCTGAAACAATTTGTAATAGTCACTTATTCTGCCTTCATGTACAGCTTTTATTGTGATGTTAAACATGCTTTGAGTGTATTGGTTTTTCCTTCACATGTAAAAAAGGAACTGTGTTATTAAAGGTAAATTCCCTACAACAATCCATGATTACCCCACAGGCCTCTATGTATTTTTCCCCCTCATTTGCCTCCGGATAGATTTTAAAAGGAGAGTGGGAAGTGATGTTTAGGTGAAGCGGTCGGAGTTTAGTGGGCTCAGTGTCTTGTTTGCCAGACGAACTCAACAAAGAAACTCTTATTGGTGGATTACATGTTGGGACTTTTCTGGACTACTACATCATCCCATCAGCTAAACAGACTGTGACGAGGTTGCTTAAGTTAACTGCGGGATATTATTGACTGCGGCGGCTCGCCACGCTTCACCTGGTATCTTTTTTCCTCTTCTTCTTACCGCGGAGGACATCTAGTTCAATCCGGACCATTAAAATATTTGAATGAACATTTGATGTGCTGGGATATTGGGGTTTTGAAGGTTAAATGTGTGTGGGAAATGGTGATAATGTTTGCAATGTCTGATGTGTCGGAGTGCGGCCGTGCCTCCAGTGCTGCCCGACGGGGTATAAACCTCATATCTCTATATACACGTTGTTAAACCCATCATATGGACTTCTTTCGTTAATGTACAATTGCATTGTGTGTATACAGTTGCAGTTTGAATGTTTATCTGGCTTATGTAGGGTTTGTTTAACCAAAGTACGCAGGCCGCCAGCTGCAATCACCTCAGCAGGTACCAGATCCGTCCGTTACTTTATATTTTGCGTGTTGTACTTTCCCCTTGCTGGTTGGTGTAAGGCGAATTGGTACAAATTAGTCATTTGTTTAGTTGATTGTTGTCTATTCATTTTCTGTCAATTTTCTTTGAGCCATTTATTATGCAAAAATGCCAAGTAATTTCTGGTTCCAGCTTCTCAAACCATAAAGTTCCTGTTTTATGTCTTTGTAAAATCATATTATTTGGGTTCTGGAAAACAAGCAATATGAGGATGGACTCTGGGAACCTTGGATGGGCAATATTCACTATTTTCTGACATTTAATTCACCAAATTATCCCAAATACATTGTGTTGTTCTTCTTGCATAGCTAGTTTATCAGGTACACCCAGCTTAATTCAGTACAATATACAACAATCTTGCAATAAACCCTACATCTACGAGTCTTATTGTTAGTTTTTGTTGCGTAACATGTTTTTTTTAATATCACAATACAGTACAAAACAGCACCACAATCAACACCTCTGACAGTTTTAACACAAACAAGGTTGTCATCCAGGACAAT